CATCACTCGTTGTTGTATTTGCCCCTCAACCCTCAATACCACTGATCGTCGCTGCCACCTCCAGCCATTGTTGTCATCATTGACTATCGCCGATCACTATCATCACCATTGTCATTTGATTTTGCACTTAAATTTGTTTTATTTCAAATAAAATATAAAAATGAAATTTTCCATATTTGTTTTACACTCATTAAAATAACTTTAGAATATTTCAAATGAACTATATATTCTTGGTCCTTGTAATATGAGACTTATTCTTGGCCATTGTAATATGTTCTTAGATATTTTATAGGTTGCTAGTCATGACCTTCATATTCAATTATTATCACATACACTATCATAGATTCTTTTTAATGTTCATATCGTAATACCAAATGATAACAGATAGCTTTATCAGATTTAGTTATTACATAATTCATGAATGTAGTAGCAAGATGTATTTTCATGCACGTTACCTTTAGTAAATATAATTGTTGAGCGTCGAAACATTTGCGACGATAGAGAGATAGAGAGTTTAATATCTTAGTTTTGAACAAAGATCCAACACGCATGCAAATAAAAGAGAGGTGCAAGGATCATAAGAGACACCAATATTTGTATGTGAAAAACTCTGAAAAAGTGAAAAAATCATAGGACCTGGCCCAGTTGAAATGAGTATACTAGTATTTATCGTTGATTACGCATGATGCCTCTCCTTGTGGGAAGGCGTTGATACAACATGTACAAATTAAATACATCATGTAGAGCATATTACATTAATGGAATTTAAAAATTCCATGGCTTGAAAATTGTTATCAAGAGAATGTTGGCATATTCGTTTAGTCAATAGGATCGTAGTTTGGCAATAGAGGTTCGAGAGTGGAGTGAGTCATTTTTTCACTCGACCCGAACGTAACCTATAAGACATATATGAGCGGGTACATGCACAGGTAATCACGGGTGTACACTAATTATAAATTTTTTTTTTGCATTAAGGGGTAGTTTAATTTGAAGTTCAAAGGGTTGTAATTTATTTTAAATGCAATGATTTTGAAAATACTGGTGTTTGATATGAAGTAAAAGAAATACAACAAAATATTGTTGGAATTTAGCGTTTAGTTCAAAGTATTATGTTTTGCGGATTTTCAAATAGAGTATAAATTTTTTACCAATGATTTTGCAAGACTCACCGTCTTAGTTCAAAGTATTATGTTTTGCCGATTTTCAAATAGAGTATAAATTTTTTACCAATGATTTTGCAAGACTCACCGTCCTCGCTGACCATCCACTGCCTTCAAGTGTGATTATGATCATAGTTGATCTTCGTTGCCGCTTGACAGCATCCCCCACGTGTTGCTCATTATTGGCTATTGCTGGTCATCACCAACCAACTCTTGTTGTTGGTCGCCACAATTGACCATTGCCCACTAAGCCTCTGTTACTATTGCTGCCACAATTTGTCGCCACTATTGAAGCCTTGCATTAGCCACTGGGCGTCATTATCATGAGACTTTATACTATATTCAATTTACTTTAAGCAAAATAAAAAAAAATAATTATTTCAAATTATTTTATGATCTTTAAAATAAATTTAAATATTTCTAATATACGATATTATATTTCAACTTTTTCATCCCACTGAATAAGGGTACAGAAAAAGCTACGCTATGTGAGAGCATGTGCTGTTATCGCAGTGCTATAAGGCGACTCCCGCTTCCGAGAATGTCCAACCACGCAACTTAGAACTCGCATCAATGGCCGCCGTCTTTGTTCACGCGCCGCCACTCCCGGCGGCGAAGCCCCTTTTTCGAGCGCGTCGTGAAATGAGCTTCTGTCTAGATCTTTCGAGGACAGTAGATCTCTCCTTGGCCGCCATGGGGTCGATGTCCAGGCCCAGGGTTTTGAAGGTCCGAGCCGCAGGTGCAGAGACTCCTTTCGGAGAGACAGCGGGATCCATTGATGATTCTGTCCATGCTAGGGCTAGAAACCCGTGTGTACTTAGATTCCAATGCGGTTTTTTTTTTTTTTTTTCTGTTTTGCATTTTGCGCTCGTGTGGCTTTTTTGAAATGATTGTTGTTTAGAAGTTTATTGCTTTAATACTGCGCTCTTTAGAACGGCTTGTAGCCTTTAATGAGCTTTTTGCTATGCATTGTGCTTGAAGCTTATTTTCCTAGAAGTTCATTTTTATTTTAGTTGCCGTAAATTAGCTACTGTTTTGTTTTCGATCGGTTCATCTTCATTCTTCCACACTCCGCATTGTTAATTCTTACAGTTGTTTTATCATTTGGCTTTACATTTAAAAGCTTATTGGCCTTGCCAGCTGAGCTAAACAATGATTTTTTATTTTTTTGTAACGAGCAAAGGGAGCATCAAGACTCAGAACTGAGACTTCTGGCTCTAGTAACATGTCAAACAGTGAAATCTCTTGATAAAAAAGGCGTACTATCCAAGAACAGTTTTTTATTTTTGAATTCCAAGTTAGAAGTAGTTTAGAAGTGATATGGCTATGAGAAATAGATCCTTATTAATTTCAAGCACTCTTTCAAGGGCGTCCCGTTTTGAGCTTTGAGGATCTTCAAACTGCAAGATTTTGACAAAATGAAGTACCTTTTTGCCTCTCTATATTAATTGATCTTCTCAAGATTCCTCTAATCAAATCATCAACCCATATGAAATATATGTTCATCATAATCTCATCTTTCGGCATAAATCCGACA